TCATTCCAAATCAATAAAGGACATCTTGTGTTCGGCGTCTACTACAGAGCATGTGGTCAGGGTGAGCCTGTGGATAAGACCTTCGTGTTTCGGCTGCTTTTGTCACAAATTGTCACAGTCTCATCTCGATTGGGGATTTCAAACACCCAAATGTTCTACTGAGAAAGCAACACAGTGAGCTGCAAGTAATCCCGGATACTCCTGTCATGTGCTGAAGATAGCCTTCTGGTCCAGGTATTGGACAAACTGACCGGAGGTGTAATGTTTCTGGACCTTTTCCTCACCATCCCAGAGGAGTTCATTAAAGAGGCTAAGATTGGAGGCACTCTGGGCTGCAGTGGCCACGCTGTGGTAAAGTTTGTGATCTTGAGGAAAAAGGAGCTCTCAAAAAGCAAAGTAGGGATCCTGAACTTCAGGAGAGTGAACTTGAGGCTCTTCAAGGATTTGCTGCCTGAGATCCCCTGGGAAGCTGTCCTTACAGCCATAGGAGTGTAGCAGAACTGGCAGCCCTTTAAGGATGCCTTTCTGAGAGCAGAAGAGCAAACTGAGGGATAAAAGGACTTACACAGGCAGTGGAAGCAGAAATGTGTGGCCTGGGAAGAGTTAAGAAATGCTGTCTGGATGTGCAGAGATGGGAAAGCATGTTGAGTCTTCCTGCCCTCATGGAAATTGTCAATCAAGACAACCAACTTGCAGAAAGAGATAAAAATTACAGTGGGGAAGGTATCAGAAAATAGAAGGAGACTGGGACATGAGAGCTGAGTATTGGATATTTTATTGGTTTCTTGGTTGTTTCGTGGAAGGCTGAGCTGTGCAGCACAGCGGTGCCTTTTGCACAGTGGCACGGAGCTGCCCGGCTTGTTAGGGTCAGCAGTGTCCGGCGCGGTCTGGGTGTGTCCCAGCAGTGTGGGGCAGGAGCACATGTCAGGCCGCGGGAGGTGTGCAGTGCTGGTGGGCAGCAGGGGAGGAGCAGCCAAATGCCGGCGCTGCATCAGGGCAGCTGTGTGTGCTGCTGCTGGGATCAGTGAGTTCCTATGTTGAGCCTGAAATTTAGCAGCAAATGCAGATGTTGTGTAACAATCTCTCCTTCAGCATTTGTGCTGCTTGTTACAGATATTAATGCAGCTAATGGATCCTCAGTGGTAATCTTGATCAGTGTGAGAAGGCCAAAATAAATGGTTGAGTAATGTTTTGGATTCTGGCATTTTCAACCCCAAAATGGTGATATCGGGATGGCAGAGTCAACGCAGTTTGTGATTTCTTGTCTGTTTCTAATTTCTGTACACGATTGCAATAATGCTTGATTATAATTTCTTATCTGTAAGTGTAGAATGTGATATATATTTCTGAACCTAAATCTAGTGATGAGCAAAATGTGGAAAAAAATTTTAAGAGCAGTCCTTCAGCATTCCCTGTGTCCTGGATGCGCAATGGCTGCAACAGGCAGAGAGCGCATTGCCCTGGAGGAGCGGGCTGTGCTCTGTGGTGTGAGGCTGCAGGAACCTCTGCAGGGTGTCAGGGTGCAACTTACTTTGGCAGTGCGTGATGGTGATGGTTATGACAGTGAGGAGCAGGAGGCAGACGCCAGCCAGGTTAACCCACATGGCCATTTTACAGTAGAATCTTGGTGTGTTCTTGTTGCTTGTTCCTGCTGGATGAATGGAGCAAGAGGAAAGAGAGAAGGCCCGGCAGCAGACATCTCCCTGCATCCTGAAATGCCTGTAGCCAGCACAAAATTTTATTTGGCCTCTTCTAACCAAAGCAGCACTGCTGGCAGAGCCCCTGCCTCCCCACAGCTGGGTTACCTGCATGCGGGCCCTGTTGCGAGTTGTCCTTCGTGGTGACCTGGCTCTGGGTGGTGGCATCATGTGTGGTGGGTGCTCCTGTTGTTTTTACTGGAAAGAGAAAAGGATGAATAGAGCTAGATACCATAACTCTGCCTTTTGCCACAACAACCTGGACACGCACAACACGGGGAGAGTCTTTGTAGGTCTCATTTGGAAATGTGATACACTGAAACCATGCCCAACCATGGAAATAGAAGGCTTAGGGTTCGTAATTCCATGGCAGCACACTCAGAGATCCTTCCTATTAGGAACAATGTTTTTAGAAACCTGGGATCCTTTCCTTTCCACAGTCCAACTTCCATCTCACCTGCGAGTTACTTTTTGAGGTGCTGTAAACATACAGAGGCTGTGAGGACATTCAGGATTAGTGTGAGGTGAGGAAGGAGGTGGTGGCAATGAACCTTGTAACTCTCCTCCCTCAGAGCAGAGCTGGTGGGCAGGGAGCCTCTGTGAGGAGGAGCAGTGCTGTGTGATGAGACGGCTTGGGCAAAGAAGCAGGGACATGGGGAGTGTGGGCGATGGGCCGGATTGAGAAGGCACGGGCAGGGGTGGTGGGTGTAAGCGAGGAGGGTGAAGGTGTTGCTGACCTGGGAAGAAGGCGGGTTGTCCAGAGCTGATGTGGAGCCCTGGGTTGATGTAGTTGATGCAGAAATAGATCCCCTCATCCTGTGCCCTGAAGGATTTTACCACCAGCCGATAGAAGTTTCCTCTCCATAGCACCTCAAAGTTTGGAGCTGTTTTCTCACCCTCCTGCATGGTGCTTGAATAAGAATGGGTACTGGAGAGAATGAAGTGAAGGTTCCCATCCTTATCCAGGCGGATCCAGGTTATTTTCCAGGAGGTTTTGTTTCTCCAGCAGTCCAACTCCAGCCGCTGTCCCTCCTGGGGCTGTATGATCCTCCTGTTGAGGAACCTGATCACCACCGCATCCCTCTGTTCCTGGGCGCCAGTGCAGCCTGTGGGCAGAAGTCGGCCATGTCCCCTCAGGTGCTGCTTGGGAAGAGCTCCCGGGGCCTTTGGGCAGGGCTCTTCCCTGCTGGTGCAGAGTGTGGCAGGCAGGCAGCCAGGCTGTGAGGGTGAATGCAAAGGGAGGGCCTCGGTGTCCAGCACGCTTGGGTGCTGTGCTGGAGTCTCTGGGACTCAGCATTGAGAGTGCTGGGCTCTCGAGATGGATGCTGCCCTTCAGAGCAGCCCTTCAGCTGCCTTCTCGAGGCTGCTGCCATTTCCCAACTTCTTTGCCAGCTGATTCCTTGCTAACACTTGCTAAATGCCCCCTCTCTCCCCTTCCCCATCCCCTCCAGCAACACCTGTCTGAACAGGCTCTGTTCCTGCTGCGTATCGCACTGCAGTCCCACCACTCCCACTTCCCTGCGCAGTCACTGAGCAGCCCTGAATTCCGTCCTTCCTGCGTCCATACTCACAGAGCCCCAGGCTGAGCAGGAGGAGCAGTGCAGGAGAGCCGGCCATCGTCCTCGGGGCGGTGCAGCGGAGCGCGGCTGATCTTTCTCACTGAACTTTGGAGGCAGCGTAACTTATAGGAGAGGATGTGATGTCATCAGGACCCTCTTCTGTGAAGAGGTGGCGTTCAGAAAAGAATGATTTCTGCAGCACTTCATTTGTGGCCCAGAACTTGGACTGGTTCATCATTACTGGATTGTTTTAATGGTGCCTTGGATATTTTGCTTCTGCACCTTCAGTTGTGATTCAGACATTGACAGTGTTTGTGCTTGAAATCAAATGAGCTGCCACAAACTGCTGTCTCTCAGCCATTTGAGGCACTCTCATCATGTCCAAATTTGCAGATAACATGGAGAAATCCCATACCATTAACATGGTTTGTAAGTTGTATTTCATGCAGTGGATTTTATAAAGTTTTTTCTATTCTATTTTCAGATTGATCCATGTGCACTTCTCATCTCAGCTCCCATGCCTTGCTGACATGTAGCTGAGTGTTTCGGCTCAGCTATTCTCTTCAATTCATCTTGATACTTTCTGTGTGCAGGGCAGGAGGTCTGTGATGTGGTAGCCATCACTGCAGCCCCATGTCCCAGACTCTTGCAGACTTCTTTTTTTTTTTTTAATTTAACTTCTTAAGTTTTTGTTCTACAACCGCAGGCACTTCTGCCCTGCCAAAAAAAAACCAACGAAACCCTTCTATGCCTCAACACTGCATGCCCTGGCTGCTGCCTGCAGGTGACCACTCACACGTTGGTAAGT